TAATTTCCTTTTCGCCCAGCTTAAGACCACTACTCCTAACTCAACCACCCTTCACTAACATTAACTATAGTGCTACATGACCTTAGATGTCTAGCACATTTATCTTGCTTTTAACCATTAACCATTAATCATTCGGTGGCTTCGGGACACCTCTGCTTTCCCCACCTATCCTCCCTTCACCGGCCTCTCAACCTTATCAGACATCTTTACAGATTCTCACACTTTTTGACAACCTGTTTTCCTTCCTCAGACGCGCGCATATCCTCAACCGTTAACCCCTTTACCTTCCCCGACCTTAACCCATTCACTCGTCAACTCCTTTGCCCAGCTTTAGCAACTAACCACCAACTCAATCATCCTTCACTGACATTTACTATAGTGCTACATGACCTTGGATGCCTAGCACATTTATTTTGCTTTTAACCATTAAACCATTCGGGACACCGGTCGATCTACACGTTCACCAGCTCAGCCATGGGTAGTGAAGAAATAAGTGCGGTTTTTGAGCGTTTGGTGGTGGTGCGTGACCCCGCAGATTCCCTGCACAATAACGCTAGACTGATATATCTGAACAACTAAATATAAAAAGCCAGCAAGTTATAAGTTAAGTTGACTCATCAATTGATATATCATGATTAGGTTACTGTATACATAGTAGTTGGGCCACCTTTCGCTCATAGATACAATAAATTATCATTATAAAGACACTGAGCATGCAGCTGTCCACTTTATTAAATCTAAAGGCACATTCACGATCGAACGGCTACGCATATGGGCGGAATTACCTTGTCCACAGTGTCTGGGTCAGTCAAAAGCAGGTACAAGCCAGAACGGGTGGCCATCAGATGTTTGTAAAAGATGCATTTTAAGCAATTTTGCATTTGTGTAAGAACTATTAAATACCCCCCCCCCCCCAATCCCTTGTTCGTTTTTGCCGTGGGGGGACTGGGGCCCAATGTGGGGGATCACCCATACCTTGGTCCTCAGCCCTCGCTTCAACTAACTTTACATGTTTTTTTTTTCTCTTCCTTACTCCTCTTTTTCAGACTTTCTGTCCACTTATCCTGATCGTTAAACTTTTGCCGTTTTCGCCTTAATACTTTTATCATAATGCTCCCTACTCCCTTACCTCCGCCCCCTTCCAACAACCTTTACTTTATCATGCCCTATCAGCTTCCTGCCTCTACCCTTTTCACTACCATTATACTCTCTGGTAATGTTAAACGTGTAACTTTACTGTAATCATTAACTCATTCTTAGCCCTTTTCACTAATCTACTTTACCATTGCGCCATATGACCTCTGATTCCACATAGCACCTCCTTACCTGGCAAGCCTCACGCTTTCACTTTATTATGAATACGCCTCTAATTACCTTAGATGTTGACGTGGCATATATTTTTCAGTTAAAAATACCCCCCCCCCCCAATTCCTTTGTTCGTTGTTGTCGTATTGGGGACTTAGGAGAGGGGCCCAATGTAGGGGATCACCCCTGCCTTGGACCTCCGCTCTCCTTTTAACAAATATTGTATGGTATTTTCTTCTTTTCTTCTTTCCTTTTCCATTCTTCACCACCTTATTCTGTCCACTTATCATAATGGGTAATTATTTTTTGCCGTTTTCGCCACAATACGTTATCATAATGCTCCTTACTCCCTAACTCCATTCCCTTCTGAGCAACTTTTGACCTTAAACCTATACCCCCTCATTTACCCCTATCATCTTGTTCACTACCATACTACCCTCGTACTTTTCCAAACCTGTAAACTTTGCCCAGTATCATCAACTCATTCCTAACCCTGTTCGTTTACTATACTTTACCATAGCGCCCATAGAACCTAGACGGGGGGGGGGGGGGGTGAACGCAAGAATAACTTTCGGTCATGATTAGGGTAGTTTGGAACGTCCGAGATTTTCCTGAAAAAGGATTTCGTTTGGGGAGGTCCTGAGAAAGAAGGTTTTCTTATCAGGTGGAGGTCAAGGGAAGAGAGGATGCGGTAAAGATGACGGGGTGGACCGTTCGATTATCAGATGCATGAGCCAGACGAGGAGGAGATGGATAGGCACCAGGTAAAAGATTATCAAAGGTCATATAGCACTATGGTAATATATGTGGCAAAGAGGGCAAACTGAGGTTAACGATTAACGATTAGGATAAAATGTGTTAATGGTCAAGGCTTGTAGCTCGCTATAGAATAGTATGGGAATGAAAAGGTAAAGCTGGGATTTGTAAAAGGGGAACGGGTTAAGGGAATAAAGAGTATAAGATCAAATAGAGAGTACCTGTGCCAAGGAAGGAAGGGTAACACTATGAGGAACATGGTCAAAAGGAGCTATTAATGAACAATCATACTGGAAATATGGGTAGAAATGTAGTTGGAAGTGGGAGAAGAATCCAGAGAATGAGATAAGGGAACAGGGGAAGGGTAGAGAAGCAATCTGGAAGAATGTCCGGTGGGAAGTGGAAACTTGCGACTTAAGGGAGTCACGTAATCATCCCACGTGGGAGTTGGTAGAAAAAGGTAAAGAAGAGGAATGGTGATGCATGTGGTGAAGGGAGGATGGGTGTTTTAGGAGAGAGTGGGAGGAAAGAGGGGTAGGTAACTTTAAAGAGGAAGATTATATCAGCAAATATCTGAATGTAGAGGAATAGAGGGATTGGAGAGTAGATGGAGCAGGTTTCTTTTGGAAGTTCTGGATGTATTCAAAAGTTCCTGGTGGGAAGTCGGGTAGGGTCGGTCTCAGAAACTAAAGTATGGGAAGGATGTGGTAGGAGATGGCGCGTGAAAGTTTGACTGCCTGGTGCGAACAATTAAAGTGAGAGAGGAGGGTAATCATTCGGAGTATCTCTTTAGACTGAAAAGGCCATTGTCTTGGGGAGAGAAATGTCGAGGTATTATGGTTTTGGGTATAGGAAGAAATGCTGAGACATCTTAAAGATGGGAGGGGAGCAGAGCGAAGGTCTGTTATGGAATAAGTAGAGAGAGAAAACCTCGTTAGAGCGTACTTCCTGTGCTGGCTCTTACATAGAGTGTTGCCTACTTGGAATTAAAAAACTACTACCTCAATTTGATGCTGTAGGCAGGACATCCCTATAAAATAAACATTTTGGGAGGCCACCACACTTGTCACACAGCGGTGACTGAGTCCAGGACCAGGTTGTCACGATCCCTCAAATAATTTTGCATGTCTTTTCTCTCCCCCATCTTTTCTTCTCTTCTTCAACTCCTTGTGTGCCACGTTCTATGGCGTGAGAGCCGTGCTGGAAAGGATAAAGGCGGTCTTTGTGTCAGCATGACTGGGAGCCTTGTTAATCAACCTATCTTTATCCTTATATGGGGAGCCTGATACTAACATAAACCGTTTTTATTCCAACTTGTGTCGGGACTGCCACCATGGTCAATAATTAAGATTTTACCCTTTTTAGGGCCCCCCCCCATAAAGGCTTTCCCACTCATCAAGCCCCTCGCCCTCAACCATGGCTCATGAACGAACTAATATTAATATCCCATCCTCGATGTTTTGTTTGTCATCCCATTCCAAATCATCCACCTAGGTCCATACTCAAACTTTTAAGATTCTTCTCTCCCCCAGTCAATACTCCATCTCCTCACTGCACATATTCTTCAACATTTATCCCCCTCCCCCCCTATTCCTATTATTTTATCCCTTTTGGTGCTCTTCCCCCACAGTACTACACCCCACCACCCATCTCCTCCAGCCCTCATCCTTCACGCTTCCACCTCTAACAAACTTTTTGAGTACTCCTTTGTGCCAAGCTAAGTGGGATCGATTCTTTGATTTCCCCAACAGGGCCCCTTGCTTGAAAGTAACTTTCCCTTTCAACAGTGTCTAAACTGGACTCACTGGCAAACCTATTCCTGGCCAACCTCACTCTTCCTTTCATACCTGTGCTGGAAACTGTTTCTTTTCTCCCTCACAAGTGTCATCTTAAACGACAAAGACTGTCAACTGTCCCACAAGGACTAGACAACTAAATTTTGT